ACTGGTGAGGCCCTACTTCGAGTGCTGTGTTCAGTTTTGGGCCCCTCACTACAAGAAAGACATTGAGGTGCTGGAGCATGTCCAGAGAAGGGCAACGGAGCTGGTGAGGGGTCTGAAGCACACGTCTGATGGGGAGCAGCTGAGGGACCTGGGGGTGTTCAGCCTGGAGAAAAGGAGGCTGAGGGGAGACCTTCTCGCTTTCTACAGCTCCCTGAAAGGAGGTTGTAGCAAGTGGGGGTCAGTTTCTTCTCCCAAGTAACGAGTGACCAGACAAGAGGAAATGGCCACAAGTTGCACCAGGGGAGGTTTAGATTGGAAATTAGGAAAAAATTCTTCACTGAAATGGTTGTCAAGCATTGGAACAGGCTGCCCAGGGAAGTGGTGGAGTCGCCATCCCTGGAGGTATTTAAAAGACGGGCAGATGTGATGCTGAGGGACATGGTTTATTGGTGGACTTGGCAGTGTTAGGTTGATGGTTGGACTTGATCTTAAAGGTCCCTTCCAACCTAAACAATTCCATTATTCAAAGGCCCCTGCTCCTACTACTGTCCGTCTTCATCACCATTTATAGAGCCTCAGCAGGGTAAGAAACAAAACTACTCATGGGTCCTGGCTCGCCCACCACTCTCTGCTGTGCTCCATGGTGGTGCCTGATTGCTTGAAGTAGGAAAGGATCCCTTTGCAGGGAGATATCATCTCAGTTGGGTCCTGTATCAGACATGGACCTTGGAGAGCATAAGGACACATCTCATGTAGTGAGAGATGATGCTGGATTAGCCTTAGCACAGGGCTGGGTAGCAGATGGCAAGGAAGCACTTGTGAGCTTTGACAGGTGAGCATGGAGAGTATCAAGGCACTGCACAGGATGCTGCAGTACCATGAGGGCCCTCTCTATTGATATTCCCTCTTTCTTGGCCTTCCTGCTGCACAGCTTCTCTGGCCTTGGCAACGAGCTGGGTCCTTCTTCCTGGGATGAGCAGTTCTATCACTTGGTGCTCCAATTTCTTCTGCGGCACATGCTACTGAGTCAGAGCATCTCTGTATGCTGCCCTGCTGTCACAGGGAACCCCTGTGAAGGGAGCATCTGCTGGGCAGGATCACCTCTGAATTTGAACTCAGAGAGGTGGAGAACCATGTGTCCAGCCTGAGCCTAAGCCATCCTGACATCAGGCCCTGGGTGGCTGATGCGGAAATGTCTGCTATGGGGAAAGAATGGTCTTTCCTCAGTGCCTGCAGAGTTCTTGCTTGCTGTGGGGAAATGAGTGCTGTTTGTGGGAAAGGGGATAAGCTGGTTTTGAGTAGTGTGTGAAATAAAGCAGCAGTTCTCAGGGCCCTGCCATGGCTGCCCTGTCCCTCCCCTCGTGGGCAGAGCAGGCAGATGTGCACCACCCTGGTGGCGAGCAGGAGGCAGTGAAAATGCTCCACCCGTTTCTTCAGCTCAGTGCTTAGGCTGTGTTTGGGATGACAGAGCCCTGACGGTTTCACTGCCTTTTCCTCCTACAACTGCTCTGTTGTTTCCAGAGGCATCACAAACCTCACGGGTCTGCTACACACGCTTCTGGGTAGCTACAAAGCAACAACCTCCTTCACCCATACCCTGATGAAATCAGGCTCAAGGCTAAGCTACCAGGAGAGGATAGCAGGCATTGTTGGTCCTACAGCAGAGCTGCTCAGTCCCTTGGCCTGTAGTGAGCTGTCTTAAACATGTCTCTGCCTCTCCTCACTCCCCTTTCCTTGCAGCTCTTCCCCAGCCCTGAAGAAGTGATGCTGCTTCGTCCTTGGCTCTAATTCACCATGGCCAAGTCCTGGCTCTTTGCTGCTGGTGCTCGGCAGGCTGGAGACCTGCTCCTAGAAGCCTCTTTTAGGCAGGAGCCAGTGTGCTTTTCAGCTGACCTTGATTGCTCTCCGTGGCCACTCTCATTGTATCTGTGTACAAAGGGCTTGCACACCTCTATGACCCCTTTTATTTTTCCAGACTTCCCATGGAGATTTGCACACTGGGTCCTCAGCTGCCCTTTCACAGCCATGCTCTGCAGTGGGGGTATTAGCACCTCCTTTGAGTATGTCTCCTTATGTCGCTCACCTGGGATACTGGAGGCCCTGGGAAGTGGGGGCTGCTGGACCGGCAGTGCACAACAGCATCCCCGAAACGTGTCAATGAGCAGAGCTCTGTGGAGCTGCGGAAGCACTGGGTCTCTCTTCTGTGCTGACTCTGCTCCATGTTAGTTTATCACATGTCCCTGGGAGGAAACCTCAGCAAAGAACAGGCAGTCTTTGGTATCTTCTCTGACCACAATGGGTTTGTTACGTGCTGAGCCATGGGCTGTTGAGCTGTCCAGTTTAGGCCACTGTACATTTCTGGTTCCTCAAGTGACCTTTTATTTTCAGACATATTTTTCTATGGCTAAAAAACTAATTCCTTCTGTTCCCTGTCCCACTCCCATTTTCCCCAGAGGGGTAGCAGAGCACAGGTATGCCGGGGTGGCTGCGGCCAGGCTCTTCTGATTTGAACTAGACCAGCACATCAGCTGGGAAAATCCTCGTTCTCTTGCTGCAGCTGCAAACATAGGTCTCAGTTGTACCAAAATCCACACCCTGGCTTGCCAAGGATGCCCACCACAGCCACCGTCACCTGTTTGCTGCAGAGAGGCCCTGGAGACAGCCTTGCCACCGGGGTTTTGGACTGTCTAGGCACATGGCTGGTTCTTTAGTGTCTGTTTTGGAATGGAGGAATAGAGGTTCGGTGTCCAGAGAACTTTGCTGTTGGCTGTTCAACTTACCCTGTGATTTCCAGAGTAGTACATCTCCTCCCTGGACTCTGCCTTAGAGCAGCAAAGCACCCCCAGAAGGACAAGCTCTGCAGATTTGGGGACTTCTCTGTACTATATTGAGAGTTTCCTGACCTCCCATGGTTAGTCTGGTCCTACCCTTGAGGGATTCTTCACTTTGATACAACAAAATACACTTTCTTCCCAGCTCTTGGTACAAAGGGTATTTCTTCCAGGCACTGTCTCATTCCCATTTCATGATGATAAAGCTGAAGGCATCTAAGCTTCTGTTGCCTGGGCTCTTCCACCCACTTTAACTTCGTTCCTCTAGTTCCATGTGGGCTTGTGTGCTGCTGCCCAGCTGTAAATCTTGCAATGTCCCATCAGCATGGGCTCAGCATCTGTATACCTTCTGCAGTGCCTGGGACAGCATGTTCTGCTGGGGCATGGAGACAGCATCTTGCTGACTCTCCAAAGGGGGCTGGTACATGGCAGTTCCTTTATCTTTTCCCCCATATCCTCAGTCTTAAATGTGCAACACCACACCCGTGCTTTTGCTGTGAACGGGGCAAACCACATGCAGGACTAAGACCAGATCATGACTGACAGATCAAGGGAAGCTATCTCTGCTGCCTGCCTGCACTGGCAATTTCGGACCCAGTGTTGAACCCTGAGTTCAAGAAGAGGTATGTGGGAGGGGGACCACCAAAGGACAACCAAGATGGTCATGGGGCTGGGCAGATGACCTGCAAGAGTGTTTATAGGAGCTGGGCTGGTTTTGCCTGGCAAAGAGGAGGACAAGGCCATTCTAATAGCAGCCCACAACTGCTTGAAGGACAGTTTTGCTGATAATGAAGCCAAATTCTTCCCAGCAATGGCAGACATGGTGATGAGGGCCAATGGCCACATCTACAGCTTGGGCATGTCAGCTGGGCATTAGGAAAACATCTTCTCTGGGAGGGTGGTGCAGCCCTTCAGCAGGTCACCAGAGAGGTGGAAGGTTTCCGTCCTTGGAGGTTGTCAAGACCTTGACACATCTGACTTGCTCTCGTGCCAAGGATATTCCAGCGCCAAGTGTCAGTTTGGCCTGAAGTCCTCTAGATGTCCCTGCTGCTGTCACACCCTGCGTGGCATACTGAAATTGCCTTGTGCAGGGGGAATCTTGATGCACCCGCACTCTGTCCCTCAGATTGCTTCATCCTGTACTGAGTAACAGGAAACACAAATTCCCATTCAGTGCAGCTGACTTCTGCAGCTGGAATCGAAGCGGAAAGACCTTTTTTCTGCATCATGTACTTAAAAGTACCTTTCTCCAAGTTTCATTTCTATGTTAAGTCCCATATGGCCCCTGTTCTTAGCCTGCAGCTTCAGCTTTATTTGTAGAGCAAATTAAAGGAAAACCGTTACAAAGATGAAACTCATCAGGAGCAGCAGAACTGCCACTTCCACCTCGGCAGTCTGTGGGGCTGGCAGCCACGGGGACCGTGCTTGTCTGCTTTTGCAAAGGACAGCGCCCATCTCTGTGGGAGAGTGTGACGAGTGCTGCGGCCTGTCTGGAGGCATGGGAATTTAGCTCTACCTTTCCCAAGTCTGATGCCACCACGGTGACACACCGTCCAGACCCACAAACTCTCCTCCCCATGCTGAACACAGCCAGAGCACGATGCACAGGATATTTGTGCTGGGGGCAAGCCAAGTCTAAAAGCCCAGAGGTGAACAGGATGGAGGTGCCTGTGTGTTTGTAAGGGGTGAGGGCTGTCTGGACACAGCCCTTCACTTTCTCTGGCATGGTCTGTGTGGACCTGCCCTCTTCTTCATGGCACCATTGCTCTGTCTGGCCCAGCTGCAGAGAAGCAGGGAAGGCTAATATAAGGGAGATGTGCAATGGGGCCAACCTGGGTAGGACAAGCCGGAGCATTGGTCCAGCCAGGACAACACCACAGCAGAGCTGGGGTGGGGTCTGTACCTTCACCCACCCTCAGCACCAACAGCACTACCAGGACCGGGACTGGGGGACACCAAACTGTGATGGGTGATAAGGACCAGGAAGAGGGTTGTCCCAGCAGCACATCGCTCAGTCGGTGCAGGCTGGGGACCTGCCAGCAGTGTTGAATCTATCACCAGAGAAGGAACTTATCATTGCCAGAAGCAGAAGTGAAATCAGAACCCGGAGCTGCTTCTCACGCGGTTCCCCTCTCTGCAGAGTGCCCTGGAGCACCCAGCAGCACGGCCATGGAGCCCCTCTCCTTCCAGGAATACATCTGCTCCCTGGACCCCACCACCCTGCCCCGTGTCCTCAGGATTTGCGCCGGTGTCTACTTCCAAGGTGAGTGCTGTCTGCCCGCTGCTTGCAAAGGGTGCCCCAAGGTGCCCTACTTCCCCCTGCCATACCGCTGCAGCCTGGGCTCCCCCCTCCTGCCTTCAAGGGGCTGGCATCCCCCAGGGAGAGTCACAGGTCCTTGTGCCACCACCAGACACTGGTGTCTAAGGCAGAGCTGCTTACAAAAAACATTCTCTCCTACACCCAGTGCCCACCCAGCTGAGTGTCCCAGTGCGTTCAGTCATGCTGCTAGGAAAGGGGTGGGGCACCAAAAACCATCCAAGCTGGTCCTCCGCTTCATGCTCAGCTCTCATCCCAGGCAGTGAATCACCCGCTAGTGGTGGGTCTGGCAGGGATGGAGCTGCATCCCTCCAGGGGCTGGAGGAAGGTGGGATGGCATTGCCACTGGCCTCGGTGTAAGGAGTCCAGCAAGGGTGCAGAGACCAGCATGGTCCGAGCTCTCTACTTCTTCCTGGGCCATGACCCTGGAGACATTTTATGTTGAAGAGAAGCCTTGACCAACCTCAGCTGGTGGCAATGGTGGTGGTGAAATGGAGTCAGAAATTAGCTAATGCTTTTGTTGGATTTCTGGGGCTCCCAAAAAAGCTGGGAATGCACAGCAGGATCCTAGCAACAACAGTGTGGCAATTACCATCAGGACTTGTAGGATTTGTAGCCTCTGTGTAGGTTACACTGACTTTTAAAGAGTAGAAGTGTTTGGGGTGGTCTCACTCTGCTTGTCTGTAGCTCAGTTACAGTGGATGTTTATCTTTCACAAAGACTTTTTGTGGCCTTGATAACATCTTAACATTGCTAAACAAGTAAAAATGGCACTGTTCCAACAGCAGCAGTCAAATTGTTTAGCAATTTCTGGTAGTCATGGCAAGGTAGCTGATGCTTTCTGCTTTGCATAGCAAGGGGTCATGAATTCATCTCAGGGAGGGGAGAAGTTCAGGGCTGCACAGAAGGTTTGGTAGCAGCTTAATGAATGGAAAGATTTAAGGGCAGAGGAGGGTATTGCTTGTGTTGGAGGGTATCGTGATGTGGTAGTCTACCCCCGTCCCTTTGCAATGTGATCAACTGCTGATTTTTTCCTGATGCGTTTCTCATCTGAGTTACATCAGTTCAGCCTCCAGCCATTCCCTCTGTGCTCTTCTGCACTGCTTTTCTTTTCTGTTATGACCCCTGCACAGTTACCAGCACTGGAAGCTTTCCAGGACATAGGCTGTACAAGCTTCCAGCTATTCCTGATTCCTTAGAAATAAGAATCAGCCCAATAAAGACCCCTCGGCCAACCTCCTGGTTGTGTATTGCCTTGGCTGCTGGCAAATGGTGCTGGACCTTGCAGGCAGATCAGAGTGCACTGGGGATCGATCCGCGTTGCACCCTGCAGATGTGCTGTCCTGCGCTGGTGTTGTTTCTTGAATACCTCTGGATTTCCTGCCACTACTGATCATCTTACTACTTCTCGGATTTTGTTAGCAAAACTTTGGGTGGGTCCCCAAGATGCTAAACAACCGCTGCTCATCTCAGCCCCTTCTTGGGCACCTCTCCCAGCCACACACTCCTCACCTCCTCTGTGTTCTTGATCCTGTTGTATGTTGCAAAACCACTCTGGCTTGGTGCTGTGGTGGAGCTGAAGAGTGCTTTGGGGTCCTGTGCAGAGCATCTACAGCCATGTGTGTCTGTGTGTCTTGCTGCCAGCCAAGGGGACAAGCCATGCCACATGTGCATGGAGTTAACCAGGTCTCTGCACCTAGGGTGTGAGGCATCTCTGCAGCAGTGAGGCGGTGCAGCCCGGCTGTGTGTTTCCCCCCCCTTTCAGGCTGTACCCTCGATGCTGTTACAGCATGACAGGGCAGAGGAGGGCTAGAGGAGGGGAGCTGGGGCTTACACAACATGCAGTGCTTTCTGAAACTTCCTGGCTTTCACCCACTTCTTCCTGTGGTATATTTTTTCACATTTTTTTCCACTTCGAGTTTTCCCCTGCTCCTAGAGGGCAGATGCTCTCCTGGCCAGTCCCAACTACACTCCACTGGTGAGCAGTGGTCAGTGGTGCAGCAGTGCCTGCAGCACTCTCCGTCCCCCTGTGCTCAGGCACCAATACCCAGCACAGGCACACCAGCCCGTCTGCAGCAGCCAGACAGTGTCTGTCCTGCCCAAACCTGCCGGGGTGGCTGTGTGTGCCAGGGCCCTACACCAACATGTTCCCACTGTCACCAAAGGCACCAGCTCGCCCCGCTCAGCAGGTGAATCTGTGCCAGCCTCACCTCTGCCCACCGCTGAGCCCATGGACCAGCTCTGCCCTCCTTCCCCAGCACCCTCCACCCCCTTCCCATGGCCCTCTTCTGCAGTGCCAGGGGTTGGGGATCCCCTTGGCCCCACCATAGCCACAGGCACTGGGGCTCCCACAGGGATGTCCATGCACCCGTGAGTGCCGGGACACTTGGGCTTAGCTCATGTCCCAGCAGGACAAAGCCTGTGGCCAGGGCCAGGCTATGGGTCAGCCCTCTCCCCGCTGCCCCAGGGACCTCATCACAGCTGGCCAGGTAGAAGGGCTCCCATGATGTAACTGACATTTGTTAATGGCACACACCATGAATCCCTGTGATGGGACTCACTAAATCACTGAGGTTGGCAGGGAACTTTAGAGACCATTCAGGCTAACCCCCAACTCAAGCAGGGTCAGCAGGAGCTGGTTGCTCAGGACTTTGTTGGGCTGGATTTTGAATATCTCCAGTGATGGAGATTCCACAAACACTTTGGGCAACCTGTCCCAGTGCTTGACCACCATCACAGTAAAAAAATGTTTTCTTACATTCAGAGGAAGTTTCATGTGTTCCAGTTTGTGCTCATGGCCTCCAGTCACTGCACTGGGCACCACTGAGAAGAGCCTGGCTTTGGATTCTCCTTTCAGATATTTGTATATGTTGATGAGATTCCCTCCAAGCCTTGTCTTCTCCCAGCTGAACAGTCCCAGCTCTCCCAGCCTTTCCTCACAGGAGACATGCTCCAGTCCCTTCGTCATCCTTGTGGCCCTTTGTTGGACTCTCTCCAGTATGTCCATGTCTCTCTCATACTGGGGAGCCCAGCAGTGGGCACACAGCAGTGGGCACAGCACCCCAGGGCGGGCCTCACCAGTGCTGAGCAGAGGGGAAGGATCACCTCCCTCGACCTGCTGGCCATACTTTGCCTACTGCAGCCCAGGACACCATACGTCACCTTTGCAGCAAGGGCATGTTGCTGGCTCATGTACAGCCTGGTGTCCAGAAAAGAAAAGAAAAGAACCCCCAGGCTCTTTTCTCCCAAGCTACTTTCCAGCTGGGTGGCCCCCAGCATGTGCTGGTGCCAGGGGTTGTTCCTTCCCACGGGCAGGACTTTGCACTTCTCCTTGTTGAACTGCATGAGGTTCCTGTCAGGCCATTCCTCCAGCCCATAGAAGTCCCTCTGGCTTGGCAGCACAACCCTCTGGCCTGTTGGCCTCTCCTCCCAGTTTTGTGTCATCTGCAGACTTGCCAAGAGTGCACTCTGTCCCATCATCCAGATCATTAACAAAGAAGTTAAACAGGACTGGACCCAGTATTGATCCCTGGGGCACACTGCTAGTGACTGGCCTCCAAGTAGATTTGGTACCACTGATCATGGCCCTCTGGGCCCAGCAGTTCAGCCAGGTTTCAGTCCACCCCAGTGTCTGCTCATCCAACCCATTCTTCATCAGCTTCTCTATGAGGATGTGACAGGAGACATAGTGCCAAAAGCCTTACTGAGATCAAGGTAAACAATACTGACTGCTCTTCTCTTGTCCACCAAGCCAGTCACCTCATTGTAGGTGGTCAGGTTGAATAAGCATGATTTCCATACTAAGCGCAATCACCTTTTCATCCTTCATGTATTTGGTAATTGTTTCCAGAATTATCTGCTCCATCACCTTCCCAGGATTTGAGGGGGGCATGACTGGTCAGTAGGTCCTTCTCCTGCCTGACATTTGCTTTTTTTCCCAGTCCTCAGGAGCCTCTTTCAACTGCCCATGATGTCTCAAAGATAACAGAGAGTGGCCTCACAAAGTCAGCACTTGTGGGGGCATCCCAACAGGCCCCACAGGCTTATGTATGTCTGCTTAGGGCTCCCTTACCCAGCCCTCCTCCACCAAGGGCAGGTTTTCCTTGCTCCAACTTTCCCCCTGGTCTCAGGGGGATTCCTGAAGGCTGGTCGTACCTGTGAAGACTGAGGTCAAGAAGGCGTTGAGTACATCTGCCTTCACTGTGTCCTTTGTCACCAGGTCCCCTGCCACATTCAAGCAGCAGACCTGCATTTTTCCCAGTCTGCCTTTTGCTGTTGATCTACTCGTAGAAGCCTTTTCTGTTGCCCTTCACATCCCTTGACAGATTCATCTCCATGCAGGCTTTGGCTTTCCTAATCCCATACCTGCATGCTAGACCTTGTCTCTGTGTTCCTCCTGCTCCACCTGTCCTGCTGCCACCATTTGTGTAGGCACTTCCTTCGTAAGTGAGTTCAGTCAGGAGCTCCCAAGTGTTGGACAGGAGCATTAACCATCTGCAGGTATTCTGAGGAAGCAGTAAAGGACAGCTTACAGAGGGTGGTGAGGCACTGGAACAGGTTGGCCAGGGAAGTTGTGGATGCCCCATCACTGGAAATGTTCAAGGTCAGGTTGGATGGGGCTTTGAGCAACCTTATCTAGTGGAAGGTGTCCCTGCAGGGGACATGTCCAGGGCAGAAGGTTTGGACCAGATGATCTGCAAAGGTCTTTGCCAACCCAAACCATTCTGTGATTCTATGAAATGCTAGTAGAGGCATCTTCTTCGAGCACATCTCCCTCCTCACCCTCCAGGGTCCGTGTATGAGATATCAGGCAATGAATGCTGCTTGTCAACGGGCGACCTGCTGAAAATCATGGCTGTGACACTGCAGAAGGTCATTTGCGAGGACACAGAGACAGGGCAGACAACAGAGCTGCCACCAACGTTTAAGGGTGAGCAGAGCTGTCCTGTCCCAGCCTGAACCAACGGGTGCCCTCATCCCAGGGGAGACCTTTGCAGACCTTGTGGGCTTAGTTTCATTGTCCCACAGGTCTTTTCCAGCCTGCCCAAGCCCCGGGACCATACCCAACACCGCAGAGACCGTTCCTGGAGGGCAGCAGGCAGCAGGGCCTGACACTGCACCAGGTGCTGGGGCAGTGGGACGGGCGGCCACAGCCCCTGCTGTGCCCCGCCATCAGCCCCCACATCCTGCTCCTGCACCCTGTCTACGAGGTGCACGCCGCCATGCACCGTGAGTCTGGACAGGGCTGGTGGGGTGCTGGGGGTTTGGGGCAGGGGGCTGTGTGGTCAGGGCAGGGATGCTGCAGGGTCAGGGTAAGGATGTTGCAGGATCAGAGTTGGGGCGCTGAGGGGTTGGGGGGAGAGGCTGTGGGGTCGTGGTGGGGATGCTGTGGGGCTGGGACAGGGGTGCTGCAGATTTGGGGCCCTACACCGTTTTGGTGCTGGGACCCCGATGCACAGGGCATGGGTGGCTGCGGGTGAGGGTGCAGGCGGTGGAGGGTCTCTCCCACTTGGGGCTAGGGAGAGGCCGAATGCAGGGACAGGGCAGGTCTGCCCCCCACAGTTCGTCGGGATGTGGTGAAGATCCCCTCCACGCTGGAGGTGGATGTGGAGGACGTCACGGAGGAGGCGCAGCACATTCACTTCGCCCAGCCGCTGCTGCTGAGTGAGGTGCTGGGGATGGAAAAGGCACTGCCAGCCCAGGCTGAGATCCTGGAGGGGCCGGCCGGCC